TCATATTAGCCCACCACCGGTATATGTACAAGTTTATGTATAATGTCATAAATAAAAGAAATATGGATAGTAGAATTGGCAAAGCGTTTCGAAATATTGGTTGTACTTATTTGGCTTATCAAATTGAGCAATGTTTTAAAAGGTAATTAAAATTTACAATTAATATTATAAAATATATACCAATGTGTTATTATTATTTAAAAGCCATTAATCAATTTTATATAGAGTTGTCCATTTTTTGGAACAACAAAAATTGACATTGAACAGCAGTGTAAATTTTTTTCAGCGTTTTAGACTACTGCCAGTTTAAAATACCATGAATCAATATATCCGTGCCAGGCTTGCCCAATCCACACACATAATTGGTATGATATAAACTCACACAAAATCTACACATATATTATGTTTTATTATGCCATACTTTGATCCATCTTTTTACATTTGCTGTTCAACTTTGATAAAAAGGCTGTTATTTTACATATATGTTTTTTTGTTTGCTTTGGAATTCTTTCTTTTCATTCTACTTTTCTAATTTATATCTAATATATATATTTTTATCTGTTATTGCTACAATTTCTATGTAGGAAATAAATCATGTAATGAATGTTTTTTATGTCTTTAATGTTGTATGTACAGTTCCATGGCTATGGGGTCAGAGGCTCTAAAAACCTGTCATTAAGGTCCCGCAATTTTGAAAAAAGAATTTTTTCAAAATTTTCAAAGGATGACAAAATAAAATTTGATAAAGGGCTCTTCATATTTTGAAAAAGGACCTCCCCAATTGTTGTGGGGGAGCCTGGCCACGGCCCTGTGTATGTAAAAATAATATAGGTTTTCAAGCTAATCTTTATAATTTTTTTTTTCAGCAAAAAGAAGAATTATGATGGTTCTGAAACTTTAAAAATCATTGGGAATGATTGTAAGTTATTGGAATTAAACATTGATACTTTTTTAAATAGTTTTCTTGCCGACGGAGAAAATTGGCTTGATCAAAGTACCTTAAAGTTGCGACAAATACTCGACCTCTACAAGAGATTTGCTAGTCTTGCAAAGTATTTCTTATTGTTTTATTTAAGTTTTTCTATTTCAATGTTCCAAATTATCATTACCTTATTTTATATAAAACATAGCACGATCCAAAATTGTTAAATATTTATATGAAATTTACTTTATTTATATGAAAAGTATTTTGTATTTATATAAAAAGTATTTTGATCATTTCCTAAGGATTGTCAAAGGGTTTTATAGCTAAATGTTACTTACTATTTTTAGCGATGTCAGATCAACATCTCCTGAGTTTTCAGGTACTTTCAATGAAAGGTGTGAAGAGTATTTTCAAAAGTTTATTACGTATGCTGGATCTGATTGTACTGAAGGCATGCCATACTTACATTATTTAAGAAATCATGTTGGAAAGCTTATGGCATTCTACGCTAGATTTGGATGGGGTTATGGAATGTTTAATTGTAACGCAAGTGAACATTTAAATAAACGAATTAAGTTTTCAGAGATTAACGAAACGAATTTAGACAGAACAAGATTCGAAACTATAATTAGGTTAATGCGTTTACAACAATTTATTCTAACAGATTCTGTTATGCCAAAGATAAAAGAGATAATTTGTTCTGTGTGCAAAATACCTGGCCACAATAAGAAAAACAAAAGCTGTCCTCTACACCCTAGTCACCCACCAATACAATTTGAAGAATCAGACGAAGAAGTTTAGTTAAAAGTATTTTATTTGAGAAAAATTATGATGTGTAAACTTTTCACTATCATTTTTATGAAGTAAAAAAAAAATTGGTTTTGAGAATTAAACGCTAAGTTAATGAAACATCAATTTAATTTATTAAATTAAAAAATTAGTATTTACAGCCTGCTGTCGATTTATGCACACTCTGCGGAGTGTGCATAAATTGACTGCACAAATCGAATGACTGCACAAATCAAATGTACGTACATCAAATGTACACACACCGAGTGTACATACTTGTAGGAGCACTTGATTTATGTATACTCGATCTGTAGATCAAGTTTTGCATACATGTAAATCGATTTATGTATGATCTTTTTATTTACACTACGCTGCATGTGCACTCCGCTTTTTATGTACACTTCGCTATGCATACCTCTGCGTCTATGTATACACAAATTTTTAATGAAGGTGGTGTCTAATTGCTTTTTTAAAATATTAAATAAAAATGTACCAATAAAAAGAAATTTAATTTAATTTCTACTTAAAAGCTTCTTATTTTATATTATAATGCCACTGAAAACTTAATTTGAACTAAGTTTTGATTTTTTAGAAAGGTTAAAAAATAAAAATCTCTAAAACTACTCACATCAAAGAAAAGTTGTAGGATTTGTTTCGATAGATCAAGGAGCTATATTAAATTTTTATTTTTATTACGTTTATTAAAGTTCCTTGGGGTAGATAGCGAAATAGCATAAGCGCAAAAAACGCAGTTTTCTTGTCTGACTTCCCGAAAAGAAATCAGTC